AAAAAGCCATAATGTTAATGAACAATTGTTAAATGTATAATTTATTTATGAAAATTTTGTAAGCTAATTACTAATTGTTGAGTGTATTTTAGAAGTGATTATAGAAAGAAGTCTTTGGTTTAATCTTATTTTTAGGTTGGTGGAAAACTCTTCTTGCCACTCTGTAAGACTGGCATAATCTAATTGAAAAGTTTAGGATAGACTGGGCAGGTGGAACCCAGATTATTAGTCTCTTTCTTGCCTTGGTTCTTCCTATAGTGGTCATGCCATCTGCTACATGTTAGAAGATTTATAAGGCAAGTAAAAAAGATGGCTCTATTGTGAGATAATAAATTTAATTCAGTAGAATATTAGCAAATGCCAGTATTTTATAGAAATAAGTTTTGATAAGTTGGTTGTATATTTTGTGAAGGAAGTTAATTGGCCTTTAAGGGATGTGACTCATATGCTACTATTGAACCTTTGATGTGGCTTTAGTAGCATTGTCTGGACAATAGCCATGTAGGAGTTTTCAGTTGTTGGGTCATTTGTAGCTTTATCTTTAAATGATTTACTGTTTTTATAGAAATAGATTGTGAGTCTAGGTCTTTAGAAGATAGTGAATAAGCTGTGGTGCAAAAACGAGTGAGGATGTATGCATATCCTAGCACTCTGGGAGGCTGCAGCAGGAGAATCAAAGCTTTGAGTCCCCTCTGGAGAGTTAGTGACAGTGAGACAGTGTCTCAAACAAAAAAGTGAGACAGGGGGCTGAGGATGAGGTTCAAAATGAAGATCCTGAGTTCAGTCTCCAGTAACACACACACATACACACACACACACACACACACACACACACACACACACACACACCTTAAAATGTGCACCTGCCATACACTTCAGAAGAGGCGTGAGTTGAGAGGGCCTAGACAAGTACTGTCCATTAAAAACAAAAGCATGTATTACCCACTGTAGCCTGGGAAAGGGTGTAAAACTCAGAAATCATTTTTTGGATATATTTTGAGAGTGGAACCAAAAAGTTTGCCACAGAAAAAGACAAGATGAGGGGAGAAAGAGGCTATAACATTGTGTTTTGAAGTACTGTTTGGGACATACAGAATATGAGACAGCTTAGATTTTCAAGTGGAGTTGTTTACTGGGCTATTGGACAAATGAATCTAGAGTTTCCAAATGGAGAGCTGTTTAGTAATCATTGACATATAGATGCCATTAAAGTACTGAACTGAATGCACTGTTTAAAAAGAATATATAGTTATAGAAGAAAAAGGAATTATAACTGCCTATTGCAGCAGTGGAATGTTTGAAAGTGACCTATTGGTTGTTCAGTAGGGTGTTATTTAATTTCCATGTGCTTATGGAGTTTTTGTGGTTTCTTTTGCCATGGATTTCCAATTTCATTGCACTATGGTCTGATAATATCGGATAATTTCAATTCTTTTGTATTTACTTAAGCATGTTCTGTGGTATAGTATGTGGTCTGTTTTGGAGAATGCTCCATATATAGCTGAGAAGAATGTGTATTCTGATTTTGTGGGGTAGAACACTCTGTAGACATCTACTAAGTCCATTTGTACAAAGGTTTGGTTCAATTCTAGTATTTCTTTGTTGATTTTTTTTTGGGGGGTCTGATTATCTATTTGTTTTTTTGGTACTGGGAATCAAACTCATGACCTTGTACTTGTCAGGCAGGCACTGTGCCACTGAGCTATATCCCCAGCCCTGGTTGATCTATTTGTGACAGTGGGGTGTTAAGGTCCTCCATTATGATTGTGTTAGTGCTTATTTGATTTTTCATATTCACTGTGGGTGGGAATGTAGACTGGTACAATCACTGTGGAAATCAGTGTGGAGATTCCTAAAAACAAAAACAAAAACAAAAAACTAGGACTAGAGGTTCCATTTGACCCAGCTATTCCACTTCTTCATATTTTCCCAAAAGAATTAAAAGCATAATGCTGCAGTGTTATATGCACACCCATGCTTATAGCAGCACAGTTTGTAATATCTAAATCTTAAAAACAACCCAAATTTTCATCAACTGATGAATGAATAAAACAGGTGGTTTTCTTTATACAATGGAGTACCACTCGTCCGCAAAGAAGGATAAACTGGAAACATTTATAGCTAAATAAATAGACTTTGAGACCATACTCTTTAAGTGAAATAAATTGGGAAAATGTATAAAAATCACAGTGTCTGGTGTGAGAAACTGGAAGTGTAAATAAGAACCGAAATATAATAGATATTGTGAAATGGAAATTATTCGAAGGAGAGCTAAGAAGGGTAGGGGAGAAGGAAGGAAGGGAAAAGAAAAAATGAGAAAAGAACGATAAAATGGAAACAAAATGGAAACATAAATAAGAAAGGGAAAGAACGATTGAAGGGAGAGGAGGGGAATGGGAAAAAGAGGAATTAAGATATATCATGTACAGATAGAAATTCCCTATGATGAATGTGATCATTATATCTAAATTGTACTAATAGACTTAATAGAAAAGTGAAAGATAGGGGAGTGTAAACTGACATTGAGAAAGATAGAGGGATTGATGGAAGAAGAAAAACCTCAGGGGTGCAAGGGATCATTGAAGCCTAGAAAACAAAATGATCAAGGAGACAGTATTTCCTTGCACTAAATCCTGTGGTGCAAAAACAAGTGATGGCGTATGCATATAAAACTAGTATTCTCTGCAATAATTGAAGGCAGAAAAAATTAATTGGATTTGGGGTTACCTGAATAATACAATCTCTGCTCTCAATGACTCACAGCCAAGTAACCAATGTTTTTTATACAAACAAATGAATCACTTATAATTAGGTAATTCAACAGTATTCATATGTAAGAGATACAGAGAAGTGAATGATAATAATTTCATGCCATATAATCAGGCTTTTGCAGAGAGAGACAGACTTTGGACATAAATAGTATTACAAGTTATACAAGAACAACAAGATGAAACCAAGGCAAAAGAAATAACAATATAAAGGATGAGATGAAGAGGAGTTAGGAAAACCAAGCCATGCTCTTTTCATGTAGGATTTTGTGTAGTATTATTTTGCAAAATTTAGACATTTTTGGTATGGAAAATGGAACAGAGTTTAAACAAAAGAATACAACTTCATGATTTAAAATATGATATTTTAAATATTACAAAAGATTATGAAGCCTATGGTCTTTTCATTGTGCCATTCATTCTCCCAGTTAAGAAAAAGACTTTTAGGAATATCACTAAGGATAACTGGAACATGGTAAGTCTATTGTAGCTCTTGAAATAGTCCAGGTAAGAGATGCAAAGTTTTCTTTGATCTAAAGTTTAAATTCTACCTAGACTTTTGGATTAGTTCTAATAACTAGCCTAAGAAAAATAAAGTATCTTGTACTTCACATAAATGTAAATTAATGATGTCAAAGAACAAGTTGTTTTGGTTAACATAAAGGTTAGAAATACATTATTCATAAATCAGGCAACCTGAATTCAGTGTAATTAATAGTTCACAGGATATAGTAGTACATTAAGAACTTTAATCAGTGACATAGCAACTGTGGATTAGAAATAGAAAATGACAAATAAGAGAAAGATAAGACAACATTATTTAAGTTATGAGATCATAGAGTTTAGAGCTGAAGGGAACTGATGAGATTTAATTTCAAAAGATGAGTAATTTGAGGGACATAAAATCAATCACAATTAGTTGTAAAATGGTCTTTGACATTTGTGTGCATATACATAATTTACACCAATGCATAAATATGAGTATATAAGAAATTATGTAAATAAAAGTTGAAAATGTATTCTATAGCAAAATATATTCTACAAACTTTTTTTACAACTTCTAACAAAATGATAACTAGTGCCTATTGTTTAATTATTTCAATAAATTTCTGTTTATTTTAACTAAAATTTTTGCTGTTACTTGATATGGCTGCTTATAGTTAAAAGAAGACTGTCTGAGCTATGAGTTGTCACCTCTTCCAATGACTTTTCATAAAATTGATAGCTTTTAAATGAACTACAGTTTCAATAAGTGGGGCATTTATTTTTTTCACTAAAAATATTGCCCATAGTGCTAAATTCTCTCTCAACTTTTAGTAAGTTAAGAACTATTACATTAATGGTTTTCTAGCACTTACAATAGTAACTGGGATTTTAAAATATTATTTACCAGTTTAAAAATGAATATAGTTTATTGGATTATCATATTTAATTAGGTCAAAAGTAATTTTTCAGTCCAGAGTACAGGTGATATATGTCAGTTAGCAGTGTGGGGTTTGTTTGGCTGCCTGAGTTCATAATCCTAGCCCTGCCTTTAAGTTCTGAATAATCTTGCTGTGGCTCAACTTTCTCATCTCTAAAATGTGATGTTATGATAACTAGAGGAAATGAAACACTACACATTTTGAAAGGTGCCTTGCACAAAGAAAGTGTTAATGAGTGTTACTGTATTTTAAAGTTTTATTAACAAAATCAAGATTGTGCATGTACATGAAAAGTGGGCTTTCAGTGAGTGTGAATGAATTTGATTCACTAAACAAGGTGAGAATTGCTGAGAGGGACAGTGAAGAAGGAGTACTGGTACTCAATCTCTAGTACCAGTAGTTCTCTAGCCCCTAGTTCCACGTTGGTCCTGTGGGCTCTGTCTATATCAGAAACTTCTTTCCCATTCTGGAAGTACCTGAAATGTCAGCAGAACCTATATTACCAGGCTGATACTGCTATTAACCATTATTATCACTCACCTCCCACTCCCAGGTTATTTAACTTGGAGGTAACTTGGAGGTTGGAGTTCCTGCAAAGGGACACCTGAGGACTTCTAGAGAGCAGCTCTGGACAGTGATAGGTAGCTACAATGTGTGAAGGACCATATGGTCATGGAGCACGGTCTTGCAACTTCTAGCTCCATTGATGGAGGGCTTTCTTTTTTGTTGAGGTCTGCATCTACTTTGGACGACTACAGATGATAATCTATGACTACAGATGATAATCCTGAGAGTTAAAGTAGTTTTGCTGGAAGGCCAGAGGAAGATGGGCCCAGGATGAGAACCAGTGAATTGCTGTCAGGATCCAGGAAGAGGTTGTAAGTGTGGCATGATCTGTCCCTTCAGATATCTTGTGGCAGGAGGATGTCAGTGATGAGATTTTTGTTTTTAAACAATAGAAGTTTTTTTAGTTGGTGTTTTTTGTGTTTGTGATGCATAACTAACACGTTATGCATGAACCTTGTGGGGAGTTGCTACATACACATATCACATCTTTTTTTTTTTTTTTTTTTTTTTTTTGGTTTTTCTCCGGTACCAGGAACCGAACTCACGACCTTGCGCTTGCCAGGCAAGCACTTTTGCCGCTGAGCTAAATCCCCAGCCCCCACATATCACATCTTAATCTTTTTTGCTTTCTCTTTTCCCATTCCTCCCACCACTCTTCCTCTATCACTGGTTTCCCTTCCCATCTCCAAAAGGTGATAGTCTACCTTCCTATTTCCCGTCATCTTTTATTTTGCTCTTTCAATTATTTATACTTTGGATTTCTCCAAACCATGTAATATTTAATCTTCTATGCCTGATTTATTTCACTTACCATTATGGTCTTAAGGTACATCTATTTTACTACAAATGACTCAAATTTATCCTTTTATATGACAGAGTAGTACTCTATTGTGTATATATACACCATATTTTCTTTACCCATTCATCTGTTGATGGACATATAGGCCATTTCCAAGATTTAGCTAGTGTAGTAGTTCTGCTTTAAACATGGGTGGGCATTTAACACTGTAATATGATGTCTTCAACTCTTTGGGGAAGATATCCAGAAAGAATACAGCTGGGTGGAGTGAGATTTCTTTTTTTTTTTTTTTTTTTTTCAAGAATATCCATACTGATTTCCATAGTGTGTATAGTAGTTTACATTCTCACCAACAAGGTAAAAGTACTGCTTTCCTCCTACATTCTTATTAGCATTTGTTGTTTTTTGAGTTTGTGGTGATAGTCATTCTTTCTGGAATAAGATGGAATCTCACTGCTGTTTTGATTTGCTTTTCTATAATGGCAAAAATGCTGAACAGTTTTTACATTCCTGTTGGCCATTTGTACTCCTCCTTTTGAGAAGTGTCTATTCATTTCAGTTAGCCATGTTTGATTGGATTTTTTTTTTTTTTGGTGGAATCTAACTTTTTGAGTTCGTTATACGTTCTAGATATTAGTTCTTTGTCTGAAGAAGATCTGGGAAAACCTTTTTACATTTTGTAGATTATCTCTTCACTCTATTATTGCTTCCTTTGCTTTGCAGAAGCTTTTTAATTTGATATAATCCCATGTGTTGATTCTTGGTATTATTTCTTGTGTAGTTAGGGTTGTGGGATAGTTAACTGATTGTGTCAACTGGAATAAGCAGTGCCCAGCTAAGTTGGATCAGCACCGTTCTGAGTGCGGCTGAGGGGATTTACTGAAGACAGAGACCCATCCTAGGGTGGCTTATCACCTGAATGGCATGAAGGGGAAACAAGGAACTATTGCTTCTATTTCTTCAGAGGTTCTCCAGTCTTCACCTTCGGCTTCACCTTGGATATCGTCTTTAGTTTAGACTCTTATGCATCTACCACAGACTTTTCAGCCTCCAGGGCAGACCCTTCAGCCTCCTGCTACAAACTCACATGAGGCAGGCATTACAGTGAGCTCCAGGCCTTCAACTGGATGCTTAGGATCTCCAGTGTGTGGACAGACCTTTTGCACTCTTCCGTATCTGATTCTGTGGACAGCCATTGTAAGCCAATCTTGTAAATTCTCATATATTTGTACATCTTGCATTAACTCTATTTCTGTAGTAAGCACTGACTGATACAGGTTCTGTGCAGAGTGTTTGCCTATGCCTGTGTCTTCAATAGTTCATTTTATCTTGTAACAAATTCAGGGTTTCTGTTTTAATAGCTAGGTCTTTGATCCATTTTGACTTTTATTTTAGTAGAAAATGAGTGATATGCATCTGAATTCATTTTCTGCATGTGCATAACCAGTTTTGACAGCATGATTTTACAAGAAGCTATCTTTTCTCTAGTGTGTTTTTGGCTCCTTCGTCAAAGACCAGATAGGGTTGTTTCTGAGTCCTCAATTCTGTTCCATTGATCTACATGCCTGTTTTAGTGCCAGAGCTGTGCTGTTTTTATCATTGTAACTTTATAATATAATTTGAAATCTGAAATTGTGATGCTTCCTGCTTTGCTCTTCTTGTCCAGGATAGCTTTTGCTATTCTTGTTCTCTACTGATTCCATATAAATTTCAGAATTGTGTTCTTATAGATCTTTAAGGAATTCTGTTGGTATTTAATTGGCATTTCATTAAATCTATATATCATTTATTATAATATGGCCATTTTGATGATATTGGTTGTGCCTCTCCAAGAAGAGTGATGTGTCTCCATTTTCTGATGTCCTTTTTTTTTTCAGAGTACTATAATTTTCATTGTAGAGATCTTTCACTTCCTTGGTTAGATCAGTTCTTAAGCATTTCTTTTTGAAGCAATTGTGAATGGGACTGTTTTCTTAATATTTTTCTTCATGGGTTCATTGTTGGTGTACATGGATACTATTGATTTTTGTGTTTGCCTTGTATCCTGCCACATTCATGAATTTGTTCTTCATTCTAGGAGTCTTTTAGTGATATTTTTTGGTCTTCTATAGGATTATGTCATCTGGGGAATAAGAGTAGTTTGACTTCTGCATTTCCTATACGTATCCCTTTTATTCCTTTCTCTTGTTTGATTGCTCTGGTGAAAGTTTCAGGTACTGTATTAAAAGAAGTGGTGAGAATTATTACCCTTGTTTGCTTCCTGATTTTAGAGGAAAAGCTTTCAGGTTTTTCTTATTTAGAGTGTTGTCAGGGATTTGTCATAAACGGCTTTGATCAGTTTGAGATAAAGTCCGTTTATACCTGTTTTCATCAGGGATTTTTTTTAAATCATGAGTGGATGTTGGATCTTGCCAAAGGTCTTTTTCTGCAAGTATTGAGATGAACATGTGATTTTTGCCCTTGGATCTGCTTATGTGATATATTGCATTTATTAATTTACATACATTGAACTGTCCTTGCATCTCTGGGATAAAACCAACTTGGTTATGACATATGATCTTTTTAATGAATTTTTGCATTGTTTACCAGTATCTTGTTAAGGATTTTTACAACTGTGTTCATTAAGGAGATTAGTCTGTAGTTTTCTTTTTT